TAGCTCAGCTGGAAGGTGCTCTAGCCAGACTGGATCCCCAGCTGTCTGCTGAATTGGCCTGGGTTCTGTGATGGATGGTTTCCAATCATGACCCATGTCCTCCTGAGCCCTCCATATCAATAATTTCCGATAGTGGCAAAAGACCAGTGACATGACCAAGTCAAGAACCTGCAGCTTTTGGCCAGACTGCTTGTGTAAATTTCTTCCTTCAACTTCTTTTGAAATCCAAAAGAAGAGAATTGTGCGTTTTGGCAGAAATGAGCTTAGGTATGGTCACAGACATCCCAGACTTCTTGTGATCTTTAGCAAGCAGATGCCAGCTGGGAATGTTAAAAATAGCAGTTGGGGATGTAGCTTGGGGTTAGAGCACTTGCCTCACTCCACAAGGCCCTGGATTTGATCCCCAGCATCACAAAGATAAAAATACAGTATCATCAACAAGAACCAACGCCTTCGTACCCAAGGTCACATTTCCTACCTTAGAAGACAAGACAGAGCACTGTTTAATGCAACGACCTGAATGATTCCCAAGGTTTGATGTCCTGAACATTTTGCAGTAATCAACCCTTAACCTTTGAATCATGTTCACATACTGCTTTTGCATGACCTGTGTCTGCCTCGATTTTCATTTTCTTCCTGAGAGGAGGAATTAAGTGTGTGACAGCCAAGAGGAAGCCAGGCCAGCATCTAAATTCCAGAGGCCTTTCCAAAGAAAAAATGCCACAAGGCAGTGTGGATTCTGGGTGCATTAGAGAGCCAGGAAAGGAAGCATCATTAGCTCAGGCAGGTTATCTGCAGGAAGTAAAGACTGAGGGAGTCTGGCTGGTAGAATGTTCTGGAGGTTCAGAGCAGGAGGCAGCATCTGGCACAGTGGAAGGGTCCTGGCTTGGTATGAATGTAAAACCACAGAATGTGAGACTGAAATCTTTGGCTTTTATCCTGCGGTTTACCATTCACTGTGTTTGATGTGATACAAATATAACTTTTGAAGAAAACTATCTGATTTTTTTTTCAATGAGGGCACAACCCTGGAGAGCAATGCTGTGTGACGACTTGGTATCGCAGCCCAGGACCAGAGAGAGAGACTACCTGTTGACCTGGGATTCCTATTAACAGTTAGTTAGTTCAGTCTTGACCAAAGTTGCCATGCCTTTGGTCTCCAGGCTCTCCAAGGGAAAAAACAATGGCAGTCCACTCCTCACTCACATAAGTCTAGAGTGAAACAGAATTAGCAAAGAACACAAAGCAGGACAGATCGTCGCTCTATCTTGGTCCTTAGTCCCTCTGTTCGGCTCTAGGCAGGCAGGCACCCGTTTGTTTTGTGGCTTAGACCACTCACTGTATAGATCTAGCTGGTCTAGAACTCAGTATATAGACCAGGCTAGCTGACCTCAAACTCATAGAGACCTGCCTGTCTCTGCCTCCCGAGTGCTGTGATTAAAGGTGTGTGATAATATATCTGGCTGCATGAGTTGCCTTGAATCTGCTGAGTTTGTGAACCAAGGTTCCATGTGAACTCCTAAGGCAGCTGAAGAGATCTGTTTGTGGACATCTACTCCAGCATCAGCCTTTGAGAGCCACGGTGTTTCCTAAACCACATTTAGTCCTAGAGGAAGCAGGGACAGGCTCTAGTATTTGCTGCAGTGTGGATGTCTCTCACCTCTGTTCTCTCCTAGAGGGCACAGTCTGAATCCCTGAGTGATCTGTCATGGACCCTGGAGGAGGAAGAATATGAAGGGAAACGATTACTCCGGGTCAATACAGAAGACCACCCCAGTGCTGGGCAGCGGGATTTGATGCTGGGCAGAAGGCCTGAGTTTGGACCCTTGCTGCTCCCTGGAGGAGGGGCCTGCGCCAGGCGGGCTCGCCTACAGCACAGCATGGCAGTCAGTGCCAGCATGGAGGAGGGCGGTTCTCCCGGAGATGAACCCTCAAGCCGCCGGGCTACGCCAGAGGCCACGGAGCCCATGGCAGTCTCAGTTCCATGCCCAGAAACCCCATCTCTGCCAGTAGGTTCTCCGTACCATATTCCCCACGGCGAAAGCCGGAAGGAAGAGCCGTCCTCTGGAGGCCTGAGTCCTCTAGTCGAGAACGTATCTGAGGAGATGGTTTGTGGTTCTGGAGATGCGGAAACTCCACCGTCTGATGTCCCTGAGGGAGGCATGGTGCCTTCCGAGGAGGACTCTACAGCACCTCCTGAGGGAGACCCAGCATTTCCCAAAGGGGACACAGCACTTCCTGAAGGGGAGACTCATCCTTCCAAAGAGGATGTAACACCTCCTGAGGGAGACACAACACTCCCCAAGGGGGTCATGGCACCTCCTGAGAGAGACATGTCGCCTTGCAAGGGTGATATAGCACCTCCAGGTAGAGACATGTCACCTTCCATGGGAGATGTGGCACCTCCTGAGAGAGACCTGTCACCTCCAGAGGGAGACATGTCACCTTCCAAGGGGGATGTGATACCTCCCAAGAGGATCGTGGCACCTCCAGACACAGACATGTCACCTTCCAAGGGGGATGTGACAC